AAGCTTCAAGAGTGGCTTAGCTGGGTGTTTCTGTCTGAGGGTCTTTCATAAGGTTGCACTGAAGAAGCTGAGCAGGGTTGCATCATTGGAAGCCTTGGCTAAGTGGGAAGGATCTGTTTCCGAGCTCACTCGTGTAGTTGTTGGTGGTAGACCTCAGTTCTGGTCACATGGGCCTCTCCATAGCGCTGCTCACAACATGGCAGCTAGCTTTCCCCAGAGTAGATGATGAAGGAGAGAGAGAGAGAGAGAGAAGGAGAGAGAGAGGGAGAGAAAGAGAGAGAGAGAGAGAGAAACCAAGATGGAAGCCCTGATGTCTTATATAAACTAACCTTGGAAGTGAGGTACTTCTTACCATTGTACCAACCCTGGTATGATGTCGGAGGGGACTACACAAGGGTGTGAATACCAGGGGCCAGGGATCATTGGGGCCTTTCTAGAGACTGACTACCATACTTGGGCAAAGGCTAGGGATGGGAGAAGCAGTCAGATTTCTGTGTTTGCATCTTAATCTATGTGAATGGTGCCCCCTGATATCTTGCAGTGCGCAACATATACAATCGTACATAGCAGCCCAGGTAGCAGTCCATGACCAAATGTTGGAAGTCAGGGGTACCTGTCCTCAGCACTTTTCCATTCCCTGTTAGGAATTCATTTATTCATTTATGCAACAAACATTTGTTAAGCACTTGGTGCATGCCTCTGTGTTGGTACTGTACTAGGTAACGGGAATCTAGGGTCTCAGCTTTAATGAAGCTTCAGTTTTCCCATGTGAATGTTGTCCTTCTTAAGTATCCAAGACATTCAAAGTAACTAAAGTAGCCCCTTTCAAGTCAGGCTGTAAGCAAATGATTATTGTCTTTCATCCCCTTCTCTCAGGCTCCTAATCTTTGGTAAACTTAAACTAATATGATATTTCCTTCAGGGAGTACAATATAAATATTTAACAATCACTGATCATTGGGTGTCTAACAAGAAAAGCTGCCTAAACAAGCAGTAGCCCTACCAGTATGATGTGTTTTGCTGAAATCCAGCCCACTTACCCTCAGAGAGGCCTTTTCTATCACCCTTCCAGTCAAACTTGAAAACTGATTGTGACTCTACCTACTTACGAAGTTGGCAGTAACAAAAGTTATAAGAAGGGCCCTACAAAAACATTGCCATCTGCCAATTCCAGGGGAAAAAGCATAGGCTCTAAATCACAGCTCAGAATAAGTGCAGAAAAGGAGAGAGTGAGTTCATGATGATGGATTGATGGACCAGAACAGGAAATATAAGGATGGCGAGCTATTTGTTTTGGAGACCAAGTTTGAGTCTCAGGGGAGAGGAACTGAGAAAATCAAGTAAAATGTACATTGCAACACTGGTCTCATGCTAATGTGTCCAAAAGTTCACAGATTCCAGCAGTTCACAAACCACTGTTTTCAAATCCCAGCTCTGCTATTCACTAGCAGCGTGCCTGTGGGCAAGTAACGTAATCGCTAAGCTTTAATGTACAGTGGGGTCGATTGAATAGAATCAACCTTATTGGCTATTTGTGAGCTAGTGTATGTGAAGTGCTAGAAAACCTGGTACAAATTAAGAACACAGTAAATGCTAATTATTATTATTATTTAAGAAATTAGAACAATGTCTATTATGCCAACAACTGAAGGAGGTCAATTTCCTTCACTCAACTAGTATTTATTGGATATCTATAGCAATGAACACCAGCCAAAAAAATCCTTGTCCTCAAGGTGCTTACAAGTGAAGAAGGGAAGGAGGGAGGGGTGGCAGAGAAGGGGAAGACTAAAATAAACAAGTAAAAAATACATCAGATTTATTATGATGACGAATAAAAATAAAGCAGAGCAGGGGAATAGGAAGTGCTGGGGGAGGGGTTGGAGGGAAGAATGTTCTATAGATAGGAAATTGTAAGTCAGAAATCCTGAGGCAGAGAAATATTTGGTGTGTTCCAGCAAGGAGGCTAGTGTGGCTGGAGGGAGATGAAGACAAAGTGTAGTTGTATAATGTGAAGTCAGCAGATTCCTGGTTGGGGGTGGCGGGCAGATCATATATGGCCATGTAGCTATTGTAGGAACTTTGGCTGTTGCTCTAGGATCGGAAGCCACTGGGGGTTCTGAGAAGATACCTATGTTTTAAAGAATCACACAGACTATTCTGTGTGGGGAAGGGTATGTGTGTGGGTATGGGTGGGGAGTGGATAGGGGAAGTAGAAAAATCAGGTAGGGTGCTATTGAGAGATGATAATGGTATAGACCAGGGTATTAGCTGTGGGGGAGGGGGAAGGAAGTAGATACTTTCAGGATATATTTTTGAAGGTAGAGTCAACAGAATTTGCTGATGAGTTGGATGTCCTGTGTAAAACTAAGAGAAGGGTCAAAGATTGGAAAGCTCTGCAGGGAGAGGAATTTTTCCCTTTTATTCAATATCATATCTCAGCCATCTAGACAGTGTCTGGTACTCAATAAATACTCCTTGAATCAATGAAAAGGGTAACTCTGATTTGTATTGTACCTTTCTTAAACTCTGGAAGTGGTATATAGTAGTTAAAGCATCTACAGATAAATGAAGTACTGTAGCAAGCACAGTTTCAGCATTTAGGCAGTAAAACCTTTTCCAATCCCTTCATAAAGTTGAAAGTTGACATTGCTGCATCCCTGATGCCCAGCAGCCAATGACCAGGACTACAAAACAACTTTGATACTTTCTGTAACAGAAGAGTACTTCCTTATAAAATATTCATTGTAAACGAACAAAAACCAACAGGATATATACCTGAGTACATAAAAGAGTAGTTTATTTGGAGAAAAGCATAGAGACTTAGGAAATGGGGATTCTGTCATCTATCCTCAACAAACAATTGCAAAACAAATTGAAACACAATCAGTAAAATCAAAATATTAATATACAATGGTTTCATGAAATAAATTATGCATGAATTTAAGGCAATCTATGAAATGCTCTGTTGATCATGTTCAAAATACTAAAAAGCAAACTTGATGCATTATCCCACTTTCTTACTAACATATTGCACCATGTGAGAAGTATGGGGGCTATTTAATTGATGATCCCAGTATATGTTAATTTCTAATTCTCCAATGTATATTTTAGAGTTTAAGGGTGAAAGAGCCTGTCAATATTCTTAAGTGACACATGGTAGTGATACACAAGAATGAACCTACTTTTTGCTCAATGTTGATTTATGGAGGCTAGGAGCCAATACCTGTTTTTGGCAATTTTCAGGAATATTATAAAGTAATATTCAATTCTTGAGGCACGCATTTAATAAAAGGATTTTCAATTCTAGACTTATGGATGGATCTTGACTTACTCCTGTCCTTTGGGGTCTTAGTGCAGATTTCTTTAGTCTGCTTGTGTTGTGGTGGACTCTGCAGGGCTGTCTTTAGCCATCTGGGCAGTGCAGTTTTTCCATATTCAGTGACAGCTCCTTCTATCTAGGAGAGGTTTAGTAATCAGTTGGTAAGAGGTGCTGGGGTGGGGTAAGTTTTGTAGAGGCTGAATTTGCATAGCATATATATATATATATATATATATACACACACACACACACACACACACACACACACACATATTTAAAGAAAGGAAAAACTATATTAAAGTTGTAATACTCAATATATACCAATAACAAAAGATGAATACAAGTCACGCTTGACTTCTCCAATTACAAGAGGTGCTCAAAGTGGTTACCATCACCATTAATAATAATATAATATTCTTTCTTAAAATGTGTATACTTTTTTGTACCATCTGTGTGTGTATATTTATATATATATATATCTATATCTATCTATCTATCTATCTATCTATCTATATATAGATATATATATTTAATGGTTACTTGAGGTGCAGATTATAGAGAAACCTAATGTTCCCTTGGGTCACCCACAGAGCCACTACTATTCCCATGCCCTTCAAGTGGGCATTAAGGCAGCTTTCCATTTGCTCTGATGGTGCTGCTCTGGCCGGCTGATCCGCACCTCTCTCCCCAACATGCCAGGGCTAAATGGCCTGGAGCGCTGGCTACTGTTGTACTTTCTGGGCCAGGGCGAGCCAAAGGGCACAAGTCCTTTCGTGTTGCAGCGTAGGGCTTGCTTAGCCTGGGCGAACTTTCCAGGCCAATGCGAAGTTTTCCCATTTTGGATGCATGTGGACACCACGCGTCCAAGTTTTGTTCAGCGTGTCAACAGGGTCAGTCTCTGTAGCCACTTCGTGAACGCTTTGAGGCAAGTGTGAGCCAAGGGCTGCAGTGGACTGGGGTAAAACACCACCTCCTGCTTCGCTTTAGGGCAACTGCCACCCCCAGCCAGCATTTCCCTTTAATGCGCGTGCCCGTCAAGGTCCTCGCGTCCCCTCCCCTCAAACCGCCCCGTCAGCCTCTGTTTCCCCACCTCCCCGGGTCCCTGCCGTTCCTTTGACGTGGGACGCCCCTCGCCCACCCCCGCCGCTGCCCGCTCGCGGGACCCGGCTGTCACTTTACTTTTCCACGCCGCCTCCCCGCCCCCTCGCCCAGCCGGCGAGGCAGCCCGCCCGTGCGCGCGCGCGCCCCCGCCCCCTCGCGGTCGCGCGCCGGGAGGAGGCGGGGCGGGGCGGAGCGGGGTAGGGGGTGGAGGGGC